AGCCAGCGCGTTCCCAATGCCGAGAGCGCCTGGGAGCGTGCCGGGAGCGCCTGAAGCGCCGTGGAGCGCTTGGGAGCGTGCCGGGAGCGCCTGGGGAAGCTTGGAAGCGCTTGGGAACGCTTGGGAAAGCTTGGGAGCGCCTGGGAGCGCCTGGGGGCGCCTGGGAGCGCCTGGGAACGCTTGGGAACGCGCTTGGGAGCGTGGAAGGCTTGGAAAGTCCCTGGGAGCGCCTGGAGCGTCTGGAAGCGCCTGGAGCGCCGCATGCTGTAATTTCATAGGTTTGGAGCACCCAGGGAGCGCCGCATGCTGTATTTTCATAGGTTTGGAGCCCCAGGGGATGTAGCGGACCGCGGCGAACCCGCTTGCTAGGGCTGAGGGTTAGGGGTTCCTTTTCTTGGGAGAACACCACGGGGATGCACCGCGCGGCGTGCGAATTCCTCCTCAGCGGCTATCGCCGCTTCGTCGGTGCGGCGCACGCTGTATGGGCAGGCTCGCTGAGCGCTCGGCCAGGCGCCACGGGCTACTGACGTTGCACCGCCCGCGGCTTGCAGTTTAGGGTTTAGGGCTTCTCTTAGCGCAGCGGCCGACAGTCCAGGCAATGCTGCCCCGCCCCTTCGGCAAGCTTGATTGGGGGGGCGGTTAGCCGACCCGAGCAAGCTTGGCGAAGGGAGCAGGAGTTGCAACATCTTCCCACCCCCGGCCGCATGGCCGGCGACCTCCCAAACTAAAGCCTTTTAGGGTTTAGGGCCGCTGGCCCCTAAATTCCCAAATGGCTCCAAGCGCTCCCAGGCGCTCCCAGGCGCTCCAAGGCGCTCCCAGGCGCTCCCAGGCGCTCCCTGGCGCTCCCTGGCGCTCCCAGGGCGCTCCCAGGCGCTCCCCGGCGCTCCCCGGCGCCCCCAGGCGCTCCCTGGCGCTCCCAGGCGCTCCCCGGCGCTACCAGGCGCTCCACGGCGCTCCCCGGCGCTCCCCGGCGCTCCCCGGCGCTCCCCGGCGCTCTCCGGCGCTCCCCGGCGCTCCCAGGCGCTCCCAGGCGCTCCCGGCGCGCTCCCAAGCGCTCCCAAACGCTTCCAGGCGCTCCCAGGCGCTCCCAGACGCTCCCAGGCGCTCCCAGGCACTCCCAAGAGCGCCCAGAGGCGCGTAGAGCGGCCCACACGTGTTTTTACGTGTCGGAGAAGTAAAAACCCCACCAGAGGACGAAAGGTCCCCGGGTTTAGGGTGTTGTACTCTTCGAGGATCAGGAAGAGTTTATCTTTGAATCGCGACTCCCAAGGGGCAGCCTACGGCTGCATGGGCGACCCAGTCTGGCAACCCGCTGAAGTATCTCAGAGATGCCCTGTCTCTCGTAGACGGCGACGGTGACGCGCGGTGGGGTGGGCAGAAGCACAACGAGGTGCTTGGGAATTTACACAACGTATTAGCGTCTGCGGACCTCGCGGCGGTTCCAATTGGCCTGCGCTATCGCCGAGAGCGCTTCCGTGCGTGCCCGCTCGAAGATCGCGCTCCCTCCCGCGCGGCGTCTGTCTGCCTGCGCTGTTCCGAGAGCGCTTCCGTGCGTGCCCGCTCGAAGATCGCGCTCCCTTCCGCGCGGCGGCTGTCTCCCAGACGTCCCAGAAGCGCCTATTGCGCGCCTTTCGCGCGTGCCCGATCGCAGGCGCCGCGCCTGCTGCGGAGCGCGCTGCGCGCGCTTCTAGGCGCGTCGCGACGCGGGCGCGAAATGCAGCGACTGCGGCATTCCCGCCAGCTGCGAAGCGCGATGCGCGCGCTCCTGGGAGCGCCTGGGAGCACTTCGGAGCGCCTGGGAGCGCCTGGGAGCGCTTGGGAGCGTGCCGGGAGCGTGCCGGGAGCACCCGGGAGCGTGCGGGGAGCGCCTGGGAGCGCCTGGGAGCGCTTGGGAACGCTTGGGAGCGTGCCGGAAGCGTTTGGGAGCAACTGGGAGCCCCTGCCTGGGAGCGCTTTGGGGTGCTTGCGAGCTTCGAGAGCGCTTGGGAACGTGCCGGGAGCGCCTGCGAGCGCCTGGGAGCGTGCCGGGAGCACTTGGGTGCGCCTGGGAACGCCGGCTCGACCCCCCGACTTTCCCGACTCGGCCGCTCCGGACCAGGCTCGAGCGCCGGCCCTTGCGCCGGCGCCGCGACCGGCTGGCCGGGGAGGGCAGGGGCCGGTCGGCGCGCGGCGCGCGTCGCGACACTCTTTGCGGGTTTCTGGACAGAGAATCTTTGAGGAGAGACTTCGTTAGGAAGTGTCGGTGCGACCAGGTGCAAAACTTACCTGTGTTTGTGCGCCGCGGCAGCAAGCCGGGGTCGCCGGTCGGCTGGAAGGGGGGGGGGGGGGCTGGCCTCGGAGTCGGCTGCCAAGGGGCGGCAAGGGCCGAGCGGGCGCTTCGCGCGCTTCGTCGGCGCTTCAGTCATATACCGGGGACAGGAATTCTGCCAGCGGGCGCGTTGCCGGCCGCGTCGGGACTGGGGCCGCGGGATGGCGCTGGCGGCTCGGGCGACGACCTCGGACGGCTGGCCGGGCGGGCCAGGGTCTGGCCGGCTCTCGGCGCGCTTCGCGACACTGGCGCTGTAGTCATATACCGGGGACAAGGATTCGGCCAGGGGGCGCGCCTCCGGCCGGGCGGGGCTGGGAGCGTAGGGAAGCCGCGGCGGCTGGGGCCGGCGCCGCGACCGGCTGGCCGGGAGAGGCAGGAGCCGGTCGGCGCGTGGCGCGCGTCGCGACACTCGTTGCGGGTTTTTGGACAGATCTAGATTCTCGAGAATCTTTGAGGAGAGACTTCGTTAGGAAGTGTCGGTGCGACCAGGTGCTAAACTTACCTGTGTCTGTGCGCGGCGGCAGCAAGCCGGGGCCGCCGGTCGGCTGGGAGGGGGTGGGGCTGGCGTCGGGGTCGGTTGTCGCCACGGGGCAAGGGTCGGGCGGGCGCTTCGCGCGCTTCGCGACATCCGCGCTTTAGTCATATACTGGGGACAGGAATTCGGCCAGGGGGCGCGTTGGCCAGCCGCGTCGGGGCTTGGGCCGCGGGGTGGCGCATTCGGCTCTGGCCGGCACCACGGACGGCTGGCCGGGCGGGCCAGGGGCCTGCTGGTGCTCGGCGCGCTTCGCGACACTGGCGCTGTAGTCATATACCGGGGACAAGGATTCGGCCAGGGGGCGCGCCTCCGGCCGGGCGGGGCTGGGAGCGTAGGGAAGCCGCGGCGGCTGGGGCCGGCGCCGCGACCGGCTGGCCGGGAGAGGCAGGAGCCGGTCGGCGCGTGGCGCGCGTCGCGACACTCGTTGCTGGTTTCTGGACAGAGAATCTTCGAGGAGAGACTTCGTTAGGAAGTGTAGGTGCGACCAGGTGCTAAACTTACCTGTGTTTGTGCGCGGCGGCAGCAAACCGGGGCCGCCGGTCGGCTGGGAGGGGGTGGGGCTGGCCTCGGGGTCGGCTGTCGCCAGGGGGCAAGGGTCGGGCGGGCGCTTCGCGCGCTTCGCGACATCCGCGCTTTAGTCATATACCGGGGACAGGAATTCGGACAGGGGGCGCGTTGGCCAGCCGCGTCGGGGCTGGGGCCGCGGGGTGGCGCATTCGGCTCTGGCCGGCACCACGGACGGCTGGCCGGGCGGGCCAGGGAACCTGCTGGTGCTCGGCGCGCTTCGCGACACTGGCGCTTCAGTATTAAGGCGGGGACAAGGATTCGGCTAGGGGGCGCGCTCCGGCTGGGCGGGGCTGAGAGCCCGGGAAAGCCGCGGCGGCTGGGGTCGGGGCCGCGACCCGCTCGCTGGGGTGGGGGGGAGGGCCGGTCGGCGCGTGGCGCGCGTCGCGATGCACGCGGATGGGTCCGGACAGAGGTTCCTTTAGGAGAGACTTCGTTCGGAAGTGTCGGTGCGACCAGGTGCTAAACTTACCTGTGCTTGTGTGCGGCGGCAGCCGGCCAGGGCCGCCGGCCGGCCGGTGGGGGGAGAGCTGGCCTCGGGGTTGGCTGCCAGGGGGGGCAAGGCTGGGCGGGCGCTTCGCGCGCTTCGCAACGTCGGCGCTTTAGTCATATACCGGGGACAGGAATTCGGCCAGGGAGCGCGATCCTGGCCGCGTCGGGGCTGGGGCCGCGGCCTTCTGCTTCTTGGCCATCTCTGCATGTCTTTCGTTACCTCCCATTATCCTCCCTGCGGCTTCTTTCCTGTGTGTTTGCGCTTCCATCCTCCCTGCTATTCTCCTGCGCGCAGGTGCCTCATGGACTCCGAGTTCGCGAGGACTCACTCGCTTTGGGCGCAAGTCCATGCGGGTGTAAGACGTGGGCATCTCTGCGAATGAACCCGTCTGGCGCTCGTGCACAGGAGGCCTATTCGGGCACTCTGCGTTGGGCGCTGGTCGGTCGAGCATTCGCGGAGGTCCTTCTCGACGAAATCGTGCTATATGGGTGTCGCCGATTCAAGTTTGAGCGTGTGGTTGGTAAGGGTTTCTGCGTGGGTGTGTCGGTCTCATTTGGGAACGGGTTTCCTGGGGGATGAAGCGACACCCGTGTAGCACGGCTTGTGCCCTGCCGTGGCACTCTGGCCGTCGAGAACTGCGCGACGCGCACCACGTATACAGGGAGCGGGAATGATAGTACCGTGACCCAGTCAGAGTGTCCGGGGCCCTCTGCCGCGAGGGTCCTGCAGGGTACAGGCATATCTTGGATGTTCTCAGGTGTGAATGAACGTCTTCTTGAAGGCGGCGCAGGGTCATGGGCTGCGTTCGCGGGCCACGCCCTGCGTGGGGCCTGGCGCCCTCCTGGCGCTATCTCCGAGCTATCTTCGAAGACGCCACAGACGGCGCTTTCGGCCTCGCCCCCGCGCCCGCTGCGGCCGCGGGCTACGCCCGGCGCGGCGCCTGGTGCCCTCTGGAGCATCCGAAGGCCCACAGAGATGCTCTGGAGTCACCCAGAGACACAAACATTACGCCCACATACATTGCGTCTGTAGACATGCGGCTCGAGCTCTTACGCATTCCGCCTTCGCACTGCGGCGCCGGCTTCACCCGCTGCCGAGCCATGTTCGGGTCTCTGCGCAAGATGTCCTCGGCCGCCTCCGCCTCTGGCGCCGGCGGCGCTGGCGGGCCCTCTCGCGCGGCGGGCGGCCCCGGCAAGCGAGGGCGCCTCGCGTCGTTTTCCGACGCCGCTCCTGCGCAGAAGAAGTCGTCTTCGGAGGTGCTGCTCCCGGCCGAGGCGCCGATTGTGTTCGACGTTCATCCCTACGGCTCGAGCGCGGAGAACCACATCACAGGGTGGCCCGCCGGCTTGCCCTGCTGGCAGGTGCAGGTCGTGCACTCCGCGTACCCGTCCATGACGGCGTTCTTCCTCCAGGCGTTCGACGCCTTCCTCAAGGACGCGGCGCACGAGGAGGGCTCGCCGAAGTCGCTTAAGGAATTCCAGGAGATGTGCTTCTTCCGCGCTCAGATTACGCGCGTGGACGCCGACGCGGCGAACGTGCCCCTTGTCCCGTGGCGCTTGGCGATCTACATTGCGGGCCGCTCGGAGGCGTTGACGGACATGCTCAAGCTTCTCATGGCGTACGCGAACCACCGCGCACAGAACCCGCACATGCGCGACAGGAAGCCTTTCCCCGACCCAGCCGTCCAGAAGTTCGAGATGTACCTCGGTGCCGGTTGCCCGAGCGCGGCCGCGACTATCTCGAACGCGGACAACGTGCAGATGTTCCGCGACCGCAACTTGCACAAGTGGTCCGAGGCGGCGGGGCCGGTTGGGAACAAGTATCTCTTCATGGACCTGGAGGTGGAGGTGACCGGAGCGCTCGCGCTCGGTTGGCGCGGGCGCACGTGGCCTCTCCGCAACGCATTCGACGCCGCAGAGATCCCGCTGATGTCCGACGGGGCGGGCGGCTTCGTGCGCGTCCTGAAAGGCGACCGGGCGGCGATCGCCAACCAGGCGGATCGCCAGAAGATCATCGATCTCGTGACGAGCGGCCTCAACAATTTCCCTACGATCCTGCTGGCCGAGAGCATCCCCGAAGTGGGCGAGAAAGCTTCTGATGAAGACGTATACGCCGCTGCCAGGGACTTCCTCGCGATGCTCCGCGCAGTGCCACACGTGCTCGTGAAGGAGATCGCCAGGCAGGAGAACGTCGAGGAGACCGCCGGGCAGCAGGGGGAGCTGGGCAAGGAGAGCGATAAGGAGAAGGACGACCTCGAGGCGTGAGCGGCCCGCGCGCTTGAGCGCGCGCATGCAGACAGCGCCGGCATTCGGCGCGCGCCGAGCCCGGCAGCGCCTTCCTCTTGCCGGCAGCACTTTGCGAGGTACGGCGTGGTAACACATTCACCACTCGCGCTCTGCTAACGCCTGCCCCGCGTGTCGGAATTCCGCAGGGCAGCGTTAGGTGCCCGCGCCAGCCGATCTCTCCAGCTTCAACTGCGATGGAAAAAAAAGCGTTCTGCAGAGATGCCGGTTCCCCAGACGGTCCCTGGAAGCAAGCGGGCCCGCGATATGGCCCCAGGCGGTGCCGAGAGAGCTCCGGCGATGCGATCGGGCGCACGTACCAGCGAGGGATGTCCAAGTCGTTTTAGCAATCTGAGATCAACGAGGTCGGCAAGACTCCAAGCCTCGTTCCTCGGCCTCTCTCCGTAGATTCTCGGCCCAAGCAAACCTTGGCGCGGTCTGCGAGACTGCTTCGAGATATCCTACATCTGATCCATGGGGCCGCCCATCTGTAAAGGGCGCGCGGAGCATGGTGCCAGAGTGCAATGTCGGTTCCACCAGACCCGGCCCGGTCAGGCAGCGCTGGCGAAATTCTCCAACCAGTGCACGTGGTGCAGCGCGGACGGCATGCAGGCCCAGTGCGCGGCGGGGGAGCGTCAGCGCAAGCTCTTAGGGTCTGCAGTAGACGCTGGCTCCAACGATCGCCAGTGTTTCCGATTTGCTCCGGTGAGCGTTTCTTGTTCGAGCGATCCCCGAGACGCATCTGCGCGATCGATCGTGGCGGGGTTGGGGGCCGATTGATCTGGGTACGTGCGCCCCATCGCATCGGCGACTGATCGGGTTTGACCGATCATCAATCGCTTGCTTCCGCGCGATCGCTGTCATCCTAGGTCGCAGCTCGCGAAGTTCTTCGAGGCCGACCCGGACATCTTCGACTTGGCATCGCGCAGGAGACCTGTCGACCACCAGAAGGAGATCGTTGAGGGTTACTTCGAAGAGGCGCTCGCCCGCGGAAGGGCCCGCGCCGATTTCGGCGCAGACGAGGTCGCAGACGATTCTTGGGAGATCCACAAGGGCGACGTGCGCAACAGATATCACTCCGAGCGCGGCAGTCTGGCCATTCATCTGGTGGAAAAGGTGGAGGGCGCGAAGTGCACTGAAGATGAGTTCGCAGAATTTTATCAGCTCTACGACGCACAGACGGACGACGGGGAGCCGATGCTAGACAGGGGAGGCATCATGCGCTGCATAGGCAAGGATAAGACGCGCTACGGTGAGTTCGCAGCCAAGGTCCGGGACATGGGCGCGGCCACGCGAGCCCGAGGGCGGCGGCCGCAAAAGCTCAAGGTCGCGATGCAAGAGTTCCTCGAGAAGCAGAAGGATGAGCCGCAGAGCGCCACTCAGGACGATGCTCGGCGCGCCGAGTTTGCCGCGCGCGCAGAGCCGCACACAGGGCGGTTGACCTTCAAGCCAGGCGCCGACGGGGCGGTCGAGTGCGTGCTCACGGAGGAGCAGAAGGCGCTGGTGCGGGAGATGCTGAGTGAGAGAGCTTCGACGATGGAGTACTTGTTCAGCCGGGGAAACGTTTGCGCGTGCTTCGGGATTCAAATTCGCAAGTACCGGGCGCTGCTCGCGGCGGCCGGGGCCGACCCGCGCCAGGACCTGCAAAAAACTAGTGGCCTCGTCCTTGAGGAAGAGGCGGCGGACCGTTCGGGCGACCCGAGCGTCCAGTACGAGAAGAGTTGGCTGCGGTGGGCAAAGGAGCTCTCGCTGGATAGCCCCAGCGTCGTGTGCTTCGCCTGCGGCGTCAAGGTCTCCAAGCACCACTGCAAGAGCGAGTGCCCGTCAGATCTCATCGCACAGACCTTGCGCGAGGACGCCTCCGAGATTACCCCGCACATCTGCGATTACTGCGTGCGGGCGGAGGATCGCGGGGCGCGCGTCTCGCGGGATGCCATCGACACGGGGAACACGCCGGAGCCGCTTCGAGGACTCACTCGCCACGAGGAGCGATTGCTCCAGCTGGTGGAGACGAACGTGGTCATGGTGCACGCGCCCAAGGGCGGCACGGCGACGGCGAAGGGCGGGACCTTCGTTGCGCCGCTGGAAGCGCCGCGCGCCTGCGAGGTGCTCGGCGGCGCCAGCATGGAGATCACCGACGGCGTGCTCTGGCTCCGGCCGCGGGGCGTCCCGCCCGGCTGGGCAGTCCCCGTGCGCGCTCAGAAGCTCCTCGACGCGCTGAAGTGGCTCGCGAAGAATAACGCATACTATCGCGACTTCTCCGTGCTGGGCCAGGCAACGGCAGCCATCAAGGCCCTCGAGACGAAGCTCGCTGAGAAGCTTGCTGACGATCGCCAAGCGATCGACCCGGAGGCCGAGGCGGCGGCGCAGGGCGCTTTCGAAGGAGACGCAACGTACTTCACCGCGGGCGGGCCCGCCCCGGTCGGCGCCGTTGTGGGAGACCTCCAGAAGAACCGGGAGTCGGCGGAGATTCGCCCGTTGACGGAGGCGCTGGCGTTCCCGACGCTGTTCCCGGGGGGCGAGGGCTCCTGCCCCGAAGAGCTCCGCTTCAGCAGCTACGCGTGGCGCCGCCTGCTGGACTGCAAGACCAAGTTCCAGGATAATCCGGATTACACCTTCTACCAGCTCGAGACGTGGTTCCGGAAGCGCTTGAGCAGCGCGACGTCCGTGTTCGTGGGGAAGCGCGAGGTGCCCGGTCGGGAAGCGGCGGAGCGCAGAGCATACGCCGTGCAAGGTAAAGTGCCCGGCACGACAGCGTTTCTGGGCCAGAAGCGCACCCACTGCGCCCAGATGATGCGCCAGCTCGGGCGCCCTGATTTCTTCCTCACGCTCACGAGCCACGAGCGCCAGCCGCACATGCTCGCAGCGTGCGTAAAGGCGCAGCTCTACAACGACAGCCCCGGCCTGCCGCTTGATCGCGTGGAGAAGACTGTCGCCGCGCAGGTGCTGGCGTACACCAACGACCAAGAGCACAAGTGGGATGGCAGCCCGCAGTGTGACGAGACGATCAAGGGCACGAATGCCGCGGCCGCGGCGTGCGAGAGCGGCTCGGAGACCAGGCGAACTGGGATGACAGCTCTTCAACTGTGTCAGAAGTTCCCTGCTGACGTCGAGCGCGAGTGGAACCGGCAGCTGGAAAGATTTCTCAGCTGGATCACCGAGGCGCGGAAGACAAAGGGAGAGAGCTGCCCGCCGTTTCCGAAGCCGACTCTGCTTCGCGGCACGGAGGCGGCGGACGGTGACGAAGCGCCCACGGGCGCCAAGGATGTCGGATACATGGATCTGCTCCAGGGCGACGTCAAGTGGGATTGCTGGGACGGCAACCTGGACGAAGCGCCCCCCTTCGTTGCGCAAGACTTCGTGAGCCGCGTGGAATGGCAGAAGCGGGGCTTCCCCCATGCGCACATGCTGCTGTGGGTGGGCGACTGGGGGGCCGAGCGCGACGCTCGGCTCGCCGCGGAAGAGGTCGCGCAGCCGCACCCGGACGCGGCCCCGCCCGTGGCCGGTGACTCCATCTGGCGCGTGAGCAAAGAGCAGTTGGATCAGCTCCTCTCCGGGAAGGCCAGCGCGGTCGTGAGGCCGCGCGGGCTGAAGGACGGAGGGCGCAAGTGGTTGGCGTGCACTGCGGACGCGGGCGCCCAGATCGTCGCGGTGGCGCACGTGGCAGGCGCGCAGCAGGTCATGTCGCAGGACGAGTGGCGCCAGAAGAGTAAGGAGCACGGGATGAGCCGGCGGACGTGCCTCTACAGGAAGACGTTCCTCGTGCACGTGCGCATGGTGCAGCAGTTGGCAGAGGCGGTGCCGTACGCCGACCCTGGTGCGCGCGCCTGCGGTGATCATGTATTTCGCCCCACGGACGCAGGGCCGCCGACGGACAGGGTTCTCCTGTTGCCCCCGCCGCGCCGATACCTTCCCGACTGCGTGAAGGTCAACTGTATCTGGGACATCGACGCGGCGCACATGGACGTCTTGGCGTCTGGCTCCTCCACCGTCGTCGCGCGCCCCGTCGGCGTCGTCGGCGAGGAGCGGAAGTGGCTGGCGCGCGCCGTAGATTCTGGCGCCCAGATCGCGGGCTGGACATCCGCATCGGTGAACCGAGAGGTGCCGTCCGAGGAGGAGTGGGTCGCCGCCCGAGAGACCTACGGCCTCGTCGAGGACGCCCTCCCCTTCGCGCCGACGCTCCTCGTGGAGCTGCGAGCGCTGCAGCTGTTCGCCAAGCCCGTCGACTACGCGCCACCGCGCGCGGGCTCTGGAGTCGGCGGAGCCCCGCCGCCGCCGCAGCCGCACACGGAACCTCGCGGCGGTGGCGAAGAGGCAGAGCGCGGCGGCGAAGAGGCAGAGGGCGAGCCGCCTGCAGCCCCAAAGCGCCCCGCGGCAGATTGGCTTGACGGGGCGGCCTCGGAGACGGACGACGAGCTCCTGGGCCCGTCGAGGGTGGACAACGTCGCCAGTATCTACGACGTCTATACGCGGACGACGGGGCCGAAGAGGTGGCGTGGAGTCTATCGTGACGGGGTGATGACGCTGCTCACGAAGTCGCTGATGCACAAGCACGGACCATACTGCGGGAAGTACTCGCTCGGACGCTGCCGCTTCGGGTTCCCGCAGCAGCCGGTGGAGAAGAGCCGAAAGAAGAGTCAGCGAGAGCTCTGGAACAACGGCTCCAAGAACAAGTACTTCGTGCGGCGCCGCAGCGGCGACACGATGATGGGCCTGTACAACCCCCGGATATTGCGCCGGTGGCGCGGTTCCATGGACCTCCAGGTCGTCGAGAACTTGCACGCGGTGGCTCGGTACATTCTGGGCTATTGCTTGAAGAACGACACCGCGAAGGACGCCGTGGGCAAGCTCAACCAGGAGATCGCGAGGGTGCCGGCGACCGGGCCTGTGACGAGCAAGCAATTGTACCGCCTCGCTTACATCGGCACTCAGGGCCGCGTGACCTCCACGTTCGAAGCGTGCCACCACCTCCTCGGACTTCCAGTGGTGCGCATCTCGCGGGAGTTCCAGTGGGTCCATGCCGGCATGCCCGAGTCTTACTCGGCCTACGTGCCGCGGCACCTCTGGCGCCAGGCTATCGCGAACCCGGAGAACGCGCCCGAGCCCACGGCGCCCGCAGTGATCCGCCGTTATGCGGAGTGGCGCGCGGGGAAGGTTGCCGTCTTCGACGACACTGGGGAGCAGGTTCCGCTTCTCGTGGAAGGCAGGGCCGCCGAGAACTACGAGTGGGTGAGCCCTCGCGAAGTGACGCTGTTCGACTTCGTGGCGTCCTACTCGACGTCGTACAATTCCGACCCCAAGCTGAGAGCGCAGCCAGCAATCGTGTCCACGAAGGCTTTCGACCCCCAGCGCGAGACGGAGGCGTATTATTACTCCAAGCTTCTCCTGCACTACCCGTGGGCCGATTTCGACGAGGACGACGGGCCGGAGTGGCTGGAGCCCTCGGACGACGGCAGTCACCAGAGTGCTTTCGTCCGCTTGTCGAAGGCCAGCAATGCAGGAGAGCACGGCGACGAAGCGGAGGCGCCGCCAGCGGACGCCCCAGCGCGCGAGGAAGAGGCGGAGCTCCCTGCGCCCGACTTTTTCCTGAAGTCCACGGTTTTCCCGAAGCTGAACATCGCGGAGGCCGCGTGGCGGGAGCTGAAGCGGCTCAATTGCGCCCTCGTCATGCGGTCCGCCATGCAGACGCCAGGGGCTGCGGAGGACTGGGAGAACCACCGGGAACTGTTGCGCCGCCTCCGCCTTGCCGCTGGCCGCCCCGACGAGGAGGCCGACGACCCGGACCGAGACGAAGATCTGGAGGAGCTGGCGGGCGCCGCGCCGCACGCCATTAGCACCTTCGGACCAGTGGCCGGCGGCGACGAGGCCGTGCAGTTGCTCTTCGGCCCCGACGCGCAGAAGTCCAAGCAGCAAGACATCGTCTACTGGTTTCTGGAGCAGGTGCGCCAGGGCAATCGCGCTCCCGCGCGCGTCCTTCTCCACGGTCCCGGCGGATGCGGGAAGTCCGTGGTCATCTGCGCCGTCGCGCGCCTCTTGCGGACGGAGGGGCACGGCGTCGCGCTCGCGGCGCCGACGGGGTGCGCTGCCTTCCTGATCAACGGCTGCACCCTGCACTCCTGCCTCCACTTGCCAGTTGAGAACAGGTCCTTCGGCCACGCCTCGGACGCGCCGCCCCCTTCCGGCCCCGCGCTGGAGCACCTCATCGAGTTCTGGAAGCCTGTCCGCGTGCTGGTGATCGACGAGATCTCCATGGTCTCCTCGGAGATGCTCGCTCGGATCGACGCGCGGCTGCAGATCTACAAGCGCCAGCCGGGAGTGCCATTCGGCGGCCTTCACCTGCTCCTCTGTGGGGACCTCTACCAGCTTCCTCCCCCGAAGGGCCAGCCCGCGCACGCGGCTGTCCAGCTGTGGAAGATGTTCCTGCTCTGTGAGCTCGAGGGGAATCACCGAGCGGCGCGGGACCCCGCTTACGCCGCTCTGCTGGAGAGAGTCCGGAAAGGCCTGCACACCGAGGCCGACCTCGCGACGCTTCGGACCAGACTGCGCAAGCCACCCGCGGACAGCCGCGCGCCGCACCTACTGGCGACCCGGAAGGCTGTCCGTCAGGTGAACGAGGAGATGCTCGAGCGACACGCGGAGACGCACGGCTTCGAGGTGCACGCCGCGCCCGCGCAGGACACGTCGCACCGCACGGGGCTCCCGATGGAGGTCGACACGGGCTACGACAATCCCGAGGACACCGGCGGCCTCGAGTCAGACGCGCGGTTCGCCATCGGAAGGTCATGCTCCGTCGGAATTTAGACATCAGCGACGGCCTCGTCAACGGCGCCCGCGGCATGGTGACGGACATCAAGCTCGCGCGGGACTCTGGCGAGGTGCCGAAGGTGCGCGTGGAGTTCGAGCGCGGCGGGCAGGCGTCCCGCGAGGAGGAAGGCGACGCAGATCTTCCGGGCGTGCTCATCAGCCCCGTGCAGGGCGCTTTCCAGAACGAGGACGGCGAGCGAATCCTTCGCCGGCAGCTCCCCCTGGTGCTCTGCTGGGGCCTCACGATCCACAAGGCGCAGGGCGGCACGGAGACGAAGGGCATCGCCTTGAGCCTCGACGAGACAGTTCGCCAGCAGTGCCAAGCTTACGTGGGCCTGTCGCGGGCCGAGTGCCTGGCCGACCTGTACCTCACCGCGTTCGACGAGCGCGCCATCATCCCCGCGGTTGGCGTCGACCACGCGCTGCTGCAGCTCCGCCTGCAGCAGGGCTACGAGGCGGAGCGGGGCAACGGGCCGAACAAGCACTGGAGAGCGTGCTTCGCGCCAGCGCAGACGGCGCAGGAGCTCGAGGAGGCGATCGCGAGCGCGCCACCAGGGGCGTTCGCCGAGCGGCAGGCGGAGTTGCTGGAGGCGCGTGCCGCAGAGGAGCGCGGGGACAAGGGCGCGTTCACGTGCGAGTACTGCGGCGAGGGATGCGGGACGAAGCGCGCGCTCGCCACCCACAACAGGCGCTCCCAGTCGCTCCCAGGCGATCCCAGGCGCTCCCAGGCGCTCCCAGGCGCTCCCAGGCGCTCCCAAGCCCTGCCCAGCGCTCACCCCGCGCTGAGCGGGTAGGGGTGTCACGAGCGGGCCTGGCCTGGCCTGGCGCTCCCAGGCGGTCCCACGCGTTCCCAGTCGCTCCCAGGCGCCCCCAGGCGCTCCCAGGCGCTCCCAAGCCTTGCCCAGCGCTCACCACGGGCTGAGCGGGTAGGGGTGTCACGAGCGGGCCTGGCCTGGCCTGGCGCTCCCAGGCGGTCCCAGGCGTTCCCAATCGCTCCCAAGCGCTCCCAAGCGCTCCCAGGCGCTCCCATGCGCTCCCAAGCGCTCCCAGGCCATGCCCAGCGCTCACCCCGGGCTGAGCGGGTAGGGGTGTCACGAGCGGGCCTGGCCTGGCCTGGCGCTCCCAGGCGGTCCCATGCGTTCCCAATCGTTCCCAAGCGCTCCCAGGCGCTCCCAGGCGCTTCCAGGCCCTGCCCAGCGTTTACCCCGGGCTGAGCGGGTAGGGGTGTCACGAGCGGGCCTGGCCTGGCCTGGCCTGGCATCTGGGCCCTGGGCGGCTGCCAATTCACCGTGATGTGCGCCTAGGGTGCCCTGGGAAAGCCCTGGGAGGGCCCTGGGGAGGGCCCTGGGGAGGGTTTGCGCCCTGAGCTCTGGGCGGCTGCTAATTCACCGTGATGTGCGCCTGGGGTGCCTTGTGTGGGCTCTGAGAGGGCCCTGGGAGGGCACTGGGGAAGGTTCAGGTGCGCCCTGGGCCCTGGGCGCCTGCCAATTCACCGTGATGTGCGCCTGGGGTGCCCTGGAGGACCCTGGGAGGGCCTTGGGAAGGCCCTGGGGAGGGTTCAGGTGCGCCCTGGGCTCTGGGCGGCTGCTAATTCACCGTGACGTGCGCCTGGGGTGCCTTGTGTGGGCTCTGAGAGGGCCCTGGGAGGGCACTGGGGAAGGTTCAGGTGCGCCCTGGGCCCTGGGCGCCTGCCAATTCACCGTGATGTGCGCCTGGGGTGCCCTGGGAGGACCCTGGGATGGCCTTGGGAAGGCCCTGGGGAGGGTTCAGGTGCGCTCTGGGCCCTGGGCGGCTGCCAATTCACAGTGATGTGCGCCTGGGGTGCCCTGGGAGGGCCCTGGGGAGGGTTCAGGTGCGCCCTGGGCCTTGGGCGGCTGCCAATTCACCGTGATGTGCGCCTGGGGTGCCCTGGGGGTGCCCTGGGAGGACCCTGGGAAGGCCCTGGTGAGGGTTCAGGTGCGCCCAGGGCTTTGGGCGGCTGCCAATTCACCGTGATGTGCGCTTGGGGTGCACTGGGACGGCCCTGGGAGGGCCCTGGGAACGCCCTGGGGAGCGTTTAGGTGCGCCCTGGGCCCTGGGCGGCTGCCAATTTACCGTGATGCGCGCCTGGGGTGCCTTGGGAAATTCTCGGGAGGGCTCGAATCGCCAGGAAACGTCTTTTGCAAGCCAGCCGATGATCCACTTTGGAAAACTTTAGGATTCGAGGTCGAAAAAAAATGTCAGTCGCAATCCGTGTCTTTTAGCGATTTTATGCTGAGGCTCCATGGAGGAGCAGGGCGCACATCACGGTGAATAGGCTTGTAGTTTTGGGGTTATAAGTCTGCTTGACGATCGCCCAGGCGGGCACAGGATAATCGCTTGCGCGTAAGCCGCATCATTGATAATGAGATAAGGCCCTCGCGGGCCCTGCCTGACGGCAACCGAGACTCAACCTGGACAGGGCCTGTCATTCACGTTCGGCCGGGAGGTAGTCTGACTGCGAGGTGCCAGTTAGGGCGCTTGCCGCTTAAATGGGTAGGTGGATACGGGCCAAGCGGCCCTGGGCGAGTTTAGGGCTTCTCGGGCGCGCAGCGGCCGACAGTCAAGGCAAGGCAGCCCCCCCTTCGGCAAGCTTGATTGGGGGGGCGTTTAACCGACCCGATCAAGCTTGGCGAAGAGCGCCAGAGCTGCAACCACTTCCCACCCCCGGCCGCAGGGCTGGGTACCTCCCAAACTAAAGCCTTTTAGGGTTTAGGGCCGCTGGCCCCTAAATTCCCAATGCGCTCCAAGCGCTCCCAGGCGCTCCCAGGCGCTCCCAGGCGCTCCCAGGCGCTCCCCGGCGCTTCCAGGCGCTGCCAGGCGCTGCCAAGCGCTCACAGGCGCTCCCGAGCGCTCCCAGGCGTTCCCCGGCGATCCCAGGCGCTCCCATGCGCTCCCAAGCGCTCCCAGGCGCTCCCAGGCGCTTCCCGCTTGTCCCAGGCGCTCCCAGGCGCTCCCAGACGCTCCCAGGCGCTCCCAGGCGCTCTCACATGCGCCCAGAGGCGCTCGGAGCGCTCCACGCGTGTTTTTACGTGTCGGAGAAGCATAGGGGCGAATTACAAGTCAAAAGTCTTTGGGTTTAGGGTGTTATATTCTTCGAGGATCAAGGGAAAGTTTATCTTTGAATCGCGACTCCCAGGGGGCAGCCTACGGCTGCATGGGCGACCCAGTCTGGCAACCAGCTGACGCTTCTCAGAGATGCCCTGTCTTTCGTAGACGGCGACGGTGATGCGCGGTGGGGTGGGCAGAAGCACAACGAGATGCTTGGGAATTTAGGGTTTAGGGTTTAGGGCCTGCATTAGAGAAAGCGCGCGCTGGCTGCGATCCCCCCCACATCAAGGTTGTTGGGGGGGATCGCTGCCCAGGCCGCGCGCGCCGCGGTTAGTCGCACTCCCGCCCCAGACCACCCAGAGTGAAGCCTTTTAGGGTTTAGGGTTTCTCCCCCCAACCCCCCTATCACGGGGGGCTGTCGAAGTGGCGCGCGCAGGCGATCGCCGACGCGGCCGTGGCATTGCGCATCCACTTGAGCATGCGCGCAGGGCGCGTGACGTGGGCGCGTCGGCTCGTCGCCCCGTCGAAGAGGCTGCCTTTGGCGATTTCGGCGTTGAGCTTCGCCGTTGGGCTGCCGCTGGCGCAGCATGTCCATGCGTTGCCGCCTTTGCCTTCGGCACTGGGTTGTGACACTGGGCTGTAAATGCTGGGATGCGCGCGTGCGGCCGCGGCCGTAGCAACGCGCGCCGATGCGAGCACGCGCGCATGGTGCATGGCGCTGGCGCGTCAGGTCGCCTCGTCGAGGAGGCAGCCGTTTGCACCTTCGGCGCGGAGGTTCGCCGGTGGGCTGCCGATGGCGCAGCAGTTCCACTCGGGTCCGGCATTTGCCTTCGGCATTGAAAAGCAGCATTGCGAAGGCGCTGGCGCGGCAATCCCATGGTTCCCCGTGGGCCTGGAGCGAGTGGCTGCGCCCTCGGGCTCCTCGCTGACGGCGACGCGCACGGCAGTTACATTCGCCCGCGGCTTT